TCAACCATTTTATATTTACAAATGTATCCAAACATAGACTGTAGTAAGATAATATATATATATATATATATATATATATAAATAGTTTAGAACTCTGGAAATTATTCTTGGTGAGACAACGTAGATCACATCGTGCAATACTCATGTCTTATATTCTATTTTCTTATACCATTAGTTATAATTCCGTTCAGTAGTTTTATATAATAAATCATTTATAATTTAATTTTTATAATATTAAAAATCAACCAATTTTCATTATGAATATGTATTTAAATAAAAATAAAATTTTCTACTTGGAAATATACCGAATAAAACATAATTACAATATAAAACTTCCAACACACAGTAAAAAATAAAAATGTTCATATAATAATAATAATAATAATAATAATAATAATAAGATAGTATAGTACCTAAAAAGTAATAAAAAAACTTTTGTATATCATTGTAGTATCATTTTGTATCATTTGTATATATTATAAAATATATTGTATATCAATTATTATAAATCCAATGAATTACAAAAAAAAAAAAAAAAAATGTCTGTGTACTATTTATTTTGATTCTAAATATTTAACTCTTTTCACATATCATGATGGTTAGAAAAACAATTAAATTAATTCATAGTCTATGTATTTTTTGACCATTTTCTAATAATAATAATAAAATGAAACAAACGACTAATAACAAATATAACCGCAAAGTACGCGTACCATCATTGGTATTTATCGACTACGAATATTTATTCGATTACTATATTATTCAACATATTTTCTACAGATATGACGCATTATTGTTGCATAGTGGGACATATAATTGATACTCACTTTTACACAAATATTTGGTTATGTATTTTTAAATTGCTAAACAAAATCAAAACTAGAATAAATGTTTTATACAGAATCAAATAATACCTTAATTATTCATATCGGTCAATTTATTTCGGAGAAAGTAAATATTCGATTGTTTAAATATAATAATTTCAAACAATTACTTAATCGATATGTAATAATGTTGGCTTTCTATTATTTTGTATGCTCGAGCTATACATGATGAGAAATACATTAGCTATCTAAATTAAATCAATAGATGACTGAAAAATTGAATAGAATATTTTACAGGTGGTATAATATTTGTACCACAGTGAAGTAAGAACAATTCTATCGGTGGTATATGTATATACCACTGTTCCGAAAAGAGTTGAATCTATGAATAAAGGGAGGAATTAAAGTCCACTCAAGAAATGTGGGGGCTATATTTATTTTACCCTCTACTCTAAAAAAAAATCCTACATGTTCCCTGAGATTAAAACATTTATTACCAAAAATATTGGTACCTTTTTTATAATTTTTTTTTACATAAAATCAGTTTTGAAAACTTTTGCTACAAAAATTATGGGATTGGATCCATCAAATAATTCAACAACAAACATTTAGCACTAAAAATTAAAACTTGTTTAAAAATAATAAACGATTAGTGATTTTGTTTAATGATAAATTCTAAGTTTTTTTTTTTTTTTTTATAATTTTTATAATTCTATCTTAATAAATCCATAGAAAATACCTACATAAATATACCAATTAATTGTGCCAAACATCACCATATTAAATCGAGTATTTTGTATTATGTCAAAGATTATTGACGTTGCGATTGCAATTTGTGTAAAACGAGGATATTGTTATAGACAGAAGGAAAGGAAATAATTGGGTTCAATCTATTTTACAAAATAAAAATGGCTCGATACGCACGTCGCAACTGAACCCGTCAATGCAAATCTACGAAATATTATGGTTATTATTTTTTTTATTAATCCAATTTAATACGAACCTGGATACAGTTTTTAACGTGTTTTATTGAATCAAATAATACTATTTTACGGTGCATATTTTATGACTTAATATTTTAAATGCATGTTTTTGGGATTTAAAGAACATAAATGCATATTTCAAAACAGTTTTGAACTTTTCTAAAAATAATTTAAACTGACAGGTAGTCAGTAAATGTACATTTTTGACCCATATTTTTCTTGGATATTTTTGGATTTCAGTTTGATCAAATTAAAAAAAAAACATCATTGTACGTATACGTTTATATATTAATCTATAAGGTTTAAAAGATATAAAACACAGAACTAATGACTAATACAAATTACATACTTATAAATTACAATAAACATGTATACTTGAAGTTAAATTAATTTTATTCTGCATACGATTTGGTGTATTTTTGTGCATATTTTGAATGCATATTTGGCAATCGATCAGTGCATAAATGCACACACATTACAGCGATTTTTAGCACATAAACATCCGAGCCCATAACTCATGACATGCACTAAAACGTGCGTTTTTGTACGCATAAAAAATAGCTATTTTGTGGCAATCTATCTTTGGCCTCCTGTAGCAAAACCGTTCGTCGCTCGTCTCAAAACCGTGACCGACGGAATAAAGTTGGACAGGGTGAAAACGTCGGACAACTCGTACACCCCGAAAAGACCGGGCCGATCGATCAGCACAATAGCTAACAAATCTACGGGCATCGCGTTGGATACGTTGGCAGACGATTTCGTAGCAGCAGACCAGAGATGTTCACGCGGAACGACCTGAGCGGACGTCAACGGTCGTATGCACAGCGTTCTACGTGGGCAGCTTCGGCATCATTCGTACGGCCGACGCATTGCCCCACACACGATTTCCCCCCAATGGAATTCAAAGGGTTACTACGCGTAATAATATCGCCTTGGACAACAACTATCCCTGCGATTCGAGCTTTACGTGACTCTGATGACCGACTTTGATCCGTGCGATGGACTGATATACTTGGTTGTACGTTTTGAACATCCGTTTTCGAAATAAATGAATATCGATTTTTGACTTTCGCTTAAAAAGAAAAAAATTTATAATCATCAGTCGTCGTAGTAGAAACCCATTTTATATATATTCATAGATTACGGCACAATATATACAATATGACTTTTCAAGCATGCTCGCCGTATTTTCAACTCCTTGTAATGCAAGAGTTTTAAAACGTTCCATCAATTTCATAAGAGTAGATTAATGCAACAACATGATGCAAGACTTTTCAGTATGAACCACAATATCCCTGGCTATCGCACTCTAGAAACTTGAACATTTATAAATTATTCAAAACATAATTTCAGTATAAATATATAAGTTTCATTATCTTTAATCGTATTATTTCTTTTACTAACATTTTAATAATTATGAATTTTTTTTTAACCAGTTATTATTTAACTGGCATTGATCAGACTATTCATTTTTTATTAATTTTTCTTTATATATTTATAGATAGTTTATTTTCTATAATAACATGATTCCAAGATTTTATGTGTTTATATTTTACGACTATTATTTTTTTCAATTTCCTTGTGACCAAATAAAATTATTGTAGAAATTGCTGTTTTAATATGATAACAATTTTTATATGTAACTTATTTGTTAATAAACATTTTTATATGTATTAGTGTCATAAAAAGAGAAAGACAACGGGTATTCGAATTTAATAACAAAGTATGATAAATATTAAACTGTGTTGATAAGAAAATAACTATTACATACAAACACAAATTGTTAGAAAACGCATTCATTTTGTGTAAACGATTTTATAGTCTGTTAATAAGTTTTCATTTTTTCAAAATAACATAATTTCTGTACATGATACTTTTATTCCTTATAATTACTAAATATTGTTACCAATACCATTTTTTTACATTTAATTACATAAATAATACGAGTTACTTACATCCAAACCTAACTTGTATTAGTTCTGCACATATACACCGTCGTCATCTGGAAGAACTCGATTTCAATCAAATCTTTATTGTTCGATTATTATTTAAATGCATACCCATTATGCACGGCGGACTTATAATATAAAAAATGATTATTTATAATTTTGAACCGTGAATTTTAATTATTATGATGTTAATAATATATTTATTATAACAAATTATATTATATTATATATAATAATAATTTTATATATTGTTATTTATAACAAATTATATTTGTTATAAATAACAATATATAAAAGTAACAAAATGATATACTCATAAAAATGTTCTACTAAAAAGATAGTTTTATTAGTAGTGGATAAGGTTAAATAACGTATAAAAAATATATCTTATTTTTAATCAAATTAATTATTATTATTACTGTAATAAATATAAAATCCACTTGCAATAAATATACTCGACGTTTCAAAATAAAGTTTTCATCTATGTCCAAGAAAGAAATAAAAACAAATTTAAGTAAATTGTTAACTTATTTTGATTGTGTTCACGCTAAGCATAGTAATTAAAATTTTTTCATCAAAATTAGGGTACAAAATTATTTGAGCGTGATCAATTTTATTATCTTTCATCAAACTCTTCGTAGCAATTCAAACATTTTAAATTGGATAAGTTTTTGGTCATATCTCGCTGAAAAAATCTGAAAATATTGAAACGTGATTAAATAACAGATATGTTTGACATTATCTATATATACCTTATTTTAATAAACAATAACTTTTCCAATGCTGAATAATTTTATTGACCAAAAAAATAAATAAATCAGTTCAAAACATTTAAACTTATTGATAATGGATAATATATTTCGTTATGTTATATTATGATCAGTAAATTTCATTTTTATAGCGATAAATTATCATTTATATATTCAATAAGGTGTTTATAATTTGTTCTTTTTGCTTTTTTTTTAAAAAAAAATTACGATTCACTCTCATATATTTCACTTAGACCGTTTATCTACTAAGTTGCTATTTACATGGTCATATTTATAAAAGGTATAACACGCAACATCTAAACTGAACTCTGCTGCTTTGGTTTGTTTATTAGTTATTATTTTAAAAATATAAAAGTACATCGAAAATAGTTCTGTCGTGTTTCAATTCCCAGTTGTTATAATAATATGTATTTAAAGTTGATTGACAAACAATATTTATTTTTTCCAATTTCGTTATATCAAAACGCTTATGAGTAATAATAATCACCGGTGTATTTTAAATCTGACAATTATAAATTATCAAACTTTATATCACGCCTTAAATCGACCTTCGATTGTGGTGTTGTGCTAGTCCAACAGAGTTCTTCGACATCGCACGTAGTATTCATAGACACTTAAAGACATATCGAATCGAAAAGGGAAAACATCTAAATATGCCATTGATATTATCTGATCTTATCATAATTATCTTATCTAATCATATTATAATGAACACACGCATCCGGATGATAAAATGAACGAATTTTATACGCACGTGCTTTATGTTCGCGTGCGTGTAGCTAACCTAACTTAACAAACTATTTCGGTGCGATCGCATGACCGCATTCAAATTAATTTGAAATACAGTGTTTGGTGAACAATATCTTCGCGTGGTTTTTTTGATCGAAAAAAATAATAGATGGTGTTGAACATTATGAACACCCGAAAAATTCGAGGACAATCCTTTTGTCTATAATAACCTTTCATCCTGAAAAAAAAAACAACCCATCTCTTCTATTTGTCCACGCCATTCCCGTATGCTCCATCCATGCACGACAATACTCCGAACCGGCTTGAGTTTAATATAATGTACCGATGATACACTGAACTGTAAAAATTATCACTGATGCTGTGGTACTACGATAAAAGGTAAATTACGACGATGGTTTTCACAGGCATGAGTATAATGTAGTTCTTTTTTCAATACTTTTATTTTTATTTTTTCTATCATATCTTATTATATGTATTTACTGTCTTCAACTCATTTTGGATATGCGAACGATTTTGCTGCCTAGGTTTTGATTGGAATTTTTTCTCCCCGTAGTGCTGCTCGTTCGACTAATCTGCAAATGATGGTCACGTAAAAGATTTGACTGTATTAATAAATAATACTAATATCAACTTAAAATGCATGTAAATCTTTTTTATCATACTGTATGTTATCAGTAAAAATAGTATACACTTATCGATTATTTTAATTTATAGACAAATAATATTTTTTTTTTTTTAACTTACAAACATAAGAATACTTTTAAATCCTTTTTCTCGGTTTTGACAGAATACAATCCTCGGGTTCTAAACAATAAATAATGTAAGTATAAATGTCACAATAATAAAAGGTATTTTAATAAGTAATATAATAATAAATAACATAGAATATTTGAAAGCTTATGCTATACATATTTACAAAACAACCTATATATATATGGTATTATTAAATATGATACAGCCACTCGGTAAAATCATTATTTCTACAGTAGAAAATTATTCAGAATTTATAACTTTATGAGATAAATAAATTACTATATGTTGAATATGTAACACTCATATGACAAAATGATATGGTTAGATAATTATTATAACTGTATGGTAGTATATACTGCGATAAAATTTTAAAATATAATATTATTTGGCTCATAACTCACTGAACTGTTAAACTTTGTATGCAGTAAACTTTTTATAGTACACCAATTTTATGTTATAATATTTTCCATTTTTTTTACATTCATTTTGTGGATAAAAATGATCGAGTTTATCAACTTTCAGACAGATCATACAACCAAGTTAATTTTTATTCATATTTAACTTGTTCAATAGTAAGAACTTATGTGCAGTATACAAGCAGAAATGTTTTCCTGTTATTTATATTTTCATTTTAAACTTTTTTCATACATTTTTACTATTCATTATTTTTTCAAGTTTCACCAGCAAGTTAATTTAAAAAAAAAGTACTAATAATAATAATTTTGGTAGACAGTACAAAATGTAAAAACAAAACATCAAAGAAACTTATTATTTTCAATAAATTATTAGTAATAGCTTACTATAGATCAATTTGTTCTTGATAAGTCATATGTTAACATATAAGAACATTGCACGTGTCTCCAAAAGTATTCTCTTTCAATTAATATTAATATCTTACTCGCCATAATAAGATGTGCAGTCTTAGAAAATCACTATCTGTAGTAACTCTTTATTATATTTATTTTATGATGGAAAAATTTAAATGTAAATATAATATAACCAGTTTGTTTTGTAACAAATTTAACAGGAACACGAATTAGTCCATTTAATTATCAGTTTAACTAATGAAAATGGACACAAACTATAAACTTTCTAAAAAGCAATGTTCTGACGGTCATTGAAAACTATTCATTAAGTGAATTACACCAGTGCTTGATTTACAATACAATTATAAATGTTAAAGGTTTCATAATAAATTCAATATATTGAACATCACATAATATTTGTATATTATTTTTTAATATATCGAGATGAATTATATAACCGAATGGTTTATCAATATTATATATATTGTGACATATTACATTTATTACAAACTAAAAATTATATATATATAGGATTATTTTACCTCCATTTTGAAAAAATGTTAATAAAAATAATGTGATAACTTGTAAGTTGAATTGAATTGAATTTTGAAACTACTTGCTAAATATTGGCAATTGTTTGAACATTGTATCACGAACTGAGTAAAAATGATTTAACCAAACTAATAAAAATAATATGTAATTATTGTATTATATGAGTTAAGAGTTATTATCATTAAAATCTCACCTTTTTATGATACTTAAAAGTTGTTTCTACAAATTTTAAGAAACATTATTAAAACTAGTACAAACTAATAATTACTTAACATATAATTTGTTTCCTTTTATCAAATGGTAATGTGACATTTAATATATAATTAACACTTTAATCTTATTCTATGAAATAAATAAAAAATCTGAAATAATATACCTTTTAGTAAAATTGTTATACTTCAAAAAATATAATAAATAAAAAGAGCGAGACTCCAAATCTCGGTGAGACGGTCGAGTAAAATATAAGGATGAGTGAATAGTATTTCTTTTACACTAGAAAGCAATGTACCATTGCTCTTGAAAAAACGATACTGAATCAAAGAGGTCAGATGCATTTCTAATGATAGTCGATAAACCAAGTAGAAGAACTAAATTTCTAAAAAAGGTAGATTGTACATTAAATGTACTAATTTCAGAAAAAAAAATATCCATTTAAAATTGAATAAATCGAGTTGTTCAAGTTCCTCTTAAAATAGTAAAATAGTTTGAAATCATAAAATGTCTTCAATAAAATAACTTATGCATTGTAATTGAAATTCGTTGAATTACCGATTTTGTCAAAATGTAATTTTGCAATGCTCATACGTAACTTTCAATAATATTTTTTTTTTCTTACCACAAAATACTACAAAATATTACATGTAAAAATTAAAAATCTGATGAATTTATAAAAAAAAAATGTTTATTAAATTGTATGATTTTTAACGCTTCGACAACTTTTAATATTTAAACACATCCACTGGCTGTTGAAAAACTCTTCATCCACTGTCGAACCTACACAGAATCAAGAAATAATCATGAAATTCCCGAGAACATCTACGATCATTATTTTTTGAGTTACGATTGAAAACAAATATTCGATTTTGTTAAAAATCTGTAAGCCATAGATGTTGCCGTATTTTTATGAATTTTCGTCATTTATTTGCAATTACTCAGAATATTGTTGGAAAATTCGTAAAATTACATTTTTTCAAAGTATCTGCTAAATACAATATTTCGTTAGGAATTTATTATGATTGTGGTGATCGAAGCAATCTAATTGACCACAAACTAAACATCATGGTAAAACATTTGCATTCCTCATTTCACTCTTCAATCTAAATACAGTTATCGTTACATGGGGTCAAACAATTGTTATGTAAATAACTATTTCACTGTATGTTCTATTACATTACATTATCAACATCAGCTTAGATGATGCAGTAAGTAATTGTATGCAAACAATATTATCAGTTTCTTTTATTCAATAAAGTCAATAATATTGAATATTTTACATAGTCAAGTAATTTACATGTTATATAACAATACATTCACCGATCATAATTATTTTAATAATAAAAATGTTGATGCTAAACAATCAGAAAATTATTTTTAATACAATTATTATTTACTGTGGATAGTTTAGAGCAAGATGATATTATAATATAATATATAACACATGTATAATTCAGTGTGATAAGATGAAATAATAAATAGAAAGGTAGGAATAAAATAAATAGAATTAAAGAATCAAAATGCAGTGCTTTAGTCGTGAATGGGAATATTATGATCGGATAACTAAGAGAAAATGTTACTTAATAAATCATCCGAGAATAGGCTATAATTATTTTTATTCGTTTTAAACAAAGAAACTGTATAACAACAATGTTCAACCGAAAGATATATTATTTATTTAATACGTGTTTTGATTATTATAAGTACCGTGATATTGGTAGAACGTAAACATTAAAGTTGTACTCAATAAAATTAAAAATACATTGGAAAAAACTATTAATCCGCCTTAACAAGTTTGCTACCAAGCCATTTTTTTTTATAACCATTATCATGAGTTTTTAATTTGTTAATTTCCATTAAAGTGACTTAATGCATTTTCTCAGTAAAGTTCTTTTGTTATAAATATATATTAAAATAATAAAAAATACAAATATATATAGTTGTATTTTTTTTTTTTTTTTTAATTTGAAATAATTTTTAATAAATTATTACATTTTTCTACAAATTTGATCTAATAAACTGATTTGACATTAATGTCAAGAAAAGGTAAAAGTATCTGAGTTCGACATTATATCGATATAAAATGTTTGATAGTACACTGCAAATTAGATTTTATGCAATATTAACTGAATAACATAATTCTATTATATAATCTGTAAATACATGTCAACCAAATTACTAAATATGAAACTAATCATCCATCAAATTCAAGTCCTCTATTTTATTTTATTTTTTCTTTTCGATTAACAATTCTATCAATCGATCTGTTTTGAATTTTGAAAAGATTGATTTCCACTAAAATATAAAATGCTCTATATCGTACTGCAGAAAAAAAAAATGTATAAAACACATATGTGTACAGAGAAAATAAGCGTATCCACTTGAATAAATTAATTTATCCTGTGAAAAAATATTTCTACAATTATTTACACTTTATAGAATTGATGGGTACAATAACACGAAGTAAAAATAAGTCGTAACCTAAAAATAAATAACCTATTTTATACAGATAGTGGATATGATTTCTATGTTTTCCATAAAATCTGAACCGAGAATCGCCTATGTTTTTGAATTACTCAACAGACTTCGTTGTTTATAAATGTCATTAAAAACAATTACTGCATTGTGTTAATATATATATATGTTTGTGTGGTTTTTTTTTTAAATTATTTTTCGACAATGCTGTAAGTTGTTAATCAAATTAATTCCTATGATTGATGTTGTACTATTATTGATACTGTTGTGCGTATTATTATTATGATTTAGTATAAAAACAATACGTAGTGTTGTATAATATAAATTGGATCTATGAATGAGTTAATGAATGTTAATCGTGTACTCACGAAGTCGGTATGTTCATGTTCATTGCAACTGTCGGTTTGTGTTCATTGATGGTTTGGTTCTCACAGTCGAGTAGCGTATCACATTGAAAAGCTGTGAACGTATTCGGGTTTTTCAAAGATGCAATGAAATAGTCCAAGACCACTATGTGACCGCAAACTGAAAAATGACAACGAATTAACTGGACGTATGGTTTACCGGACCGGTCCGTTCGAAATCGGTTACAGAAATGGGCGCAAACAGAACATTTCCGTCTGCATTATTTCTAGTATTACCGGAGAACAACGAATCGGATTTACTGTCCAAGATATAATACAGTATATGATGAATAACAAATATTATAATTATATATTTGTTTGAACGAGGTCCCGAATCCAAAATTGGTCAGGGTGACCACGTTTCAACGGGTGCAGGATATAAAATATCAAGAACAAAAAAGTGGACTGTATTAAATTATAAAAGCTTTATTATAATCAAAACGCGGCAAAAACCAACGTATATAAATATTACTAACAAATGTTACTTACGCGGCAACAACTAACGTATACAAAAAAACTGAACACGACAATAATAATATAATCACACAACGGATTAAAATAAACTGCTGTGTCTACCTGGTGGGCTGCATACTACTTGCGTCCCTCAAAAAGGTAGATTTTTTCAGGTAGTAAATTCAACAGGTAACTTGCATCCCGTCTTGGGGATGCAACTGGACCATATTATTTTTCTTACCTGCTATAATAGTCATGACCGAGATGCGTCCATAAAAATTATGTGTTACAATAATCATGTATGTGTAAATTTTGTATATAATATATAATATCTGCGACTATCGATAAATTAATATTATTAGCTATAATAGAGTTTCAGTGAGATAAAATTAATTATGTACCATGACAATGTACTTTTGTCACCAAACAATTTCCGAGTCGTATCATATATTATAATCAATCAGAATAACACAAAGTATTTTGCACTATACATTTCTCAGTACATGTTCACGCATTCCGTTCTACAGTGTTCGTGGTGTCGAATTAAAATTATTATTATATTTTAATTTAAACGATTTAAAATGGAAAAAATGTTTAGCTCCAAATTTTGCGCGAAAAAAGAATTCTACATAATTGAAGAATATAAGTTCAGTTACCATAAAATGCTTGAAAATAAAGTACAAAAAAAAAAAAAAAAAATACAAAATATTAGATTGGCCAATAAATATAAAAATAAATCAGAAATAGGTTTATTTCTTAGAATTTGTTTTGATCTTACATTTTTATTTATAGAAATTTTAAATGACGTATTTGTCTATAAAATCATTCCAATCGTTCCAGAAAAATGTTTATAATTTACTGATTATGTATTAAACAATTATATATCTGAAAATGCTCAATTTCCTCCATGTATGTTGACATATTGTTCATTTAGTGTACAACGAACAACAAACGCATGTGAAACATTTCATTCCAATTTAAATTCATCTTTTTACTCAAGCCATCCAAGTATACATCAATTTATAAATATTTTAAAATCATTTCAAATTAATGCTTATGTGTTAATGAATAGCGTAAATACGCCCAAAAAAGAAAAAAAATATCAATAAATTGACTATTTAAATAATAAAATAAAAAAATTCAAAGAAAACAAATTCTGCTCTTATATATTTAAAAAAACGTTTCACTCAAATTTTAGCCTACATTATTTAAATAAATAATTAATAGTTTTATAATTTATCTAATTTTCTATTTTTTTGATAATTGACAATTTGATCTGTTTTTATTAATAATAATAAATATGTTTTTTACACAATCTGTAAATAGCTTATATAATTTTATTTATTTCAACGTAATAAATTACTTGTAATACTTATTTTATGCTATGTTTATGACTTATTTGTGCTGGAACGCAACTTGGATGTCTTAAAAGGTACTATTGGACGCAAATATTTTATGACCTTTTTTTAACCTTTTTTGGTGGGACAAAAAATACCTACTGATAATCTGGAACGCAAGTAGTATGCACCGACCTGGTGATGACGACGTGAATTTATAGCCAGTCGCCACCGAGTTAGAAAGCAGTTAGAACGATAGGTCGTTCTAGAATGTTCAAGACAATACCTATGATAGATAAGAAGACATATTCGTTTCGAATATTCTAGAAAAGTTGAGATTTTTTTCGTCAATTATCGAACTGTACCCATTAATATTTGTCGAATTTTTCCGATCGAAAGATGGCGAAGGATCATAAGCTCTGTTAAATAGAACATGTTATAAATATGTGCATTATCGTCGTGTTCAATTTACTGCAAGCTTTAGACATCGAATAAATCGGAACGATAGAGGTAACGGTATAAAGCGACGGTAAAACGTAACGTTTAGACAAAAGACAAATAAATCCATTTTAACGCGCGTTAATAGTACATGTTTCTGTCCACTGATTTCTAGTCTTTGTGATTTTCACGGGATTCCAGCTCTCGGCGTAACCGATAATACTCCCCGCAACGTTCTCATTTTTTTTTTTTTTTTTTTGTATGTCTTTTCGTTTTCTGTGGCAATTATAGTGGTCAATCATATCATCTTTATCAGAACTACTTGACATGTTTTAAATGTGTTATATGAACTGTAAATAACTTTTAAAAAAATACACGTCCTCTGCTAACATGGGCTTGCATAAAACTATCAACTGGTCAAAAATAAATCGTACTCGTGCGCGGAGAGTAGACATAAATCGATTACGAACCAATTGCACGACAGCCGCTCGCGCAATTACTTTAAGATTATCGTTGCAGAACATATGTACCGCATGCAGAGTGCTTTGAGCTGAGCGCACACTGCGCAGCAGTCTTGTAATTTTTGCAGCGTGTATCTGTGGAACAAGAGGCGATCACAATCAGTTTAGTTTGAAATCGATTTAAAATCGGTCGTATGGAATCATTTTCCGCGGTCGCAGTTGCGTTGTAATTAATAAATCGCACCATATCACGATTAATTCGTCCACTTGTAAATTTCGTTTGTTTTCTTATTCTGTTTATTTTTTTCCCGTGAACACGAGTAACTAAGAAGTAAACTTAAATTCGTTGTAGAGCCAGAGGAACCCGAAGAACTGTATATATATAATCTTCCTGTACATTCTTTCGACATTTTCTAAAAAGTAATAAACTCCCTATTCATCCAAGACAGTTATTTTGCTGCTAAAAGCAGCGTCAAATTTTGTATTGGCCTCTTACGTGTGGGTTAAGATCAATTATGTCTTCTCAGTTTGAATCCGAATTCAGCATAGCAAAAAATTAGTCTTTTCCATGCGTGGACAGAAGTTTCGTTCTGGTTGCAAATCGGTTGTATTCTAGACGCATTTGTGACTTCTGTCTTGAAAAAGTTGCACCATGGGTGATTGACGTCTTTACAGTTATCGCACGAGACTGTGAATCGCGTGCCAACAAATGCGCGTCTAGACTATACCATCAAGGCAACCGAAAAGCCAACGTCACCTTAGGTGTTGACTGTGCTTAGATTTGAGAGCATTGGTATACTGTTCAAACTCATTCCAAATTCGTCATTAGTCAGTGTTTGAAAGCCTTCGCTTGTTTATGCTGCGAACGCATATAATTCATTTTATATTTCTAAAGTTTAAAATTTAACTAATAACTGTAAATATTATATTTTAAATAAAATAATGGTAATGACAAGAACTTGTTAATGGCAAGTGCTGGTTTTATATTAATATACTCATTAAAAAAAAAAAAAAAAAAAAAAAAAAAAAAATATAAAAAAATGAAGGTACAATCGAGATGGATAACTTCAACATTATAAAGTAGTTTATAGGCAAGTAAAATAATAAATAAGTTGTTGAAAACATGAACTAAGATGAACATTGGAAATATTTACAATTTTTAAAGTAGTGGTAATTTTTTATTGGATTTGCAAAGATTCTAGTTATTTTGTCTCGATATAAATGTATTAACTGAAGTTATCGTTTATCAGTGCATTCTATTTTTAACAATAAATTATATTAAAATAGTAAATACATTTTATTTTTATCTATAATGATATACCGTGTATGATATATTAATGATAAATTGATAAATAAAATAATAAAATACAATATAAAATTATCATTACACTAAGTAAATATGACTATTTAAATATTGATTGCGTTACACTTAACATATCTTAAATTGGATTGACAAATGGGCAGTATTTCTGTTTGAGAGGACTGGTCGAAAGAAAGATTTTACTGTCGCGACATTTTGGTGTCTTGCCGACCACACCCGATTAAAACGGCCACGACGATCGTTTATGGTAGTGATGGGTGGTTCTTGAAAGTCAATCAATTTAAATCGGAATGAAAACTTTATGATAAGAACAGTCAGTATTGTAAAAATATCGGAAATAGAATTAACAATTAATAATGAATTGATTCACATAAAATATCGTATCAACAATTCGATTTATATAAAAATTGGATTAACGATTCGAATCGATCTTTTAAATGGTCGAATCACGGAGATCAATTCAAAAAATCGATTCATCGCACGAAAAAGGTTGATTCAAATCACCCCCCCCCCTCCAATCACTAATGTGTTCGGTAACGTGTCGTTCCACTGGAGCAACGCACCGCGGCACGTAAAAAGTCGCGTCTTCTGCCCACCACGTTCAACGTACGTGACTGTTGCTGCACACCACGTTTAACTCGGGTAAAGTTCAAGTGCGTCTATGCTTGTTGTTTTGATTTATGAGCTTTGCAAATGAAGCACGCACCTGCAGAAAATACCTGCAAAAGCTGCTATGCCTCCCAAATTTTTGTAAATGGGACCAGACCAGGCTCAAATGTTTACTCACATCTAGGCAAACTTAAGTCTTGCTATCCCTTATATTTATTATTTAATTTTACTTTAAAATAAGACAAAACAATTATAGAGTATTATTTTTTACTATACATAATTTGATACAAGAAGGTAATAGAAAATGTAATCTTTTTTTTTAAATTATCTATAGTTTAAAAATTGGAAATATAGCACTAGATATGAGATTATGTTGCCTATTTAAGCTTATATCAGAACCGGGCCTGAATGGGACCCTAAAATTTAAGTCAAAGATTATGGGGTGTGTGTTTTAACTGATGTGTGTCAAATTAAATAAAACTTATTCAAAAATATTCGGTAAAAAATAAATGATGTTTTGTAATTGAGAAAATAAACATATATTTTCTAAATTTTTGAGCAAAAACTTATTATGGTGATATAACAGCTACAATTTGACTATAAAAGTACAAATCATAAATAATTAAAGCTATAGAAAAGAAAATTTAATTTAATAAAATAAAAAAAATAAATAAGCTTTGTTTATTTAAATATTTATTCATTTTACTTTATTAAATATATGTACAAGTTTTGTTATGATAGGGTCCAAAATTATTACAGACACCACTCCCCTGAAATACAGATCCACGCACGCCTATGGGTATCAGTTCCATGTACGTTTCGCATCAGTTTTCGTTTACAAGCATCGTTTCAGTACCAACGCCACAGTAACAGCAGTGACGCGATGGTGAAAACATTTATTTTCAAATCCCCGTACACAGAGTACACAGTAATCCCTTGTTGTCCACAGTGGTTACGTTCCGGCAATAGGTTTCACTGATAACGAGACCATAAAGCAATTAATAAGTATTTTCTACGAGTACATATTTTCTCAATAAATATTAGTGCTTTCCATAACATTGCGTCATGTTGCTTTTTCGTTTTCTCGCATTTATCGAACACTAGATTCGTTCATTTTATATTTCCTAGCAAGCGACGTTGTGATATCATTACTTGTTGATCCATCCAAAATGCCAATCAATATTTAACAAATACCAACTGACAACCGAACAATTGGTGAATATAAACCGTACACGTGCAATAGTCACCTAATGTGGCTTATCTGTAATAAGTGCACATGTATATACATAGTTTTTTAGTAATACCTAGTGGTATACAAAAATTATCTACAGAAATGAATCTACTTAAATGCATTGCAGTGCTTGTAGAATACCGATAAAATGTTATCGCGTAAATAACGTTTCATCACGGATAAAATGTCAGTGGATAACAAAGGATTACTATTTCATTATTTTTACCATTATTATTATGATTTTATAAACAATACACGTTCAAGTCTCAAGTATTTTCATTTAACCAACCCACTTATTATTCCCACATTGAATAAGACTTTGTATTATTTTTTTATTTTTATTCTTTTCTACCTATGTGACAAATTAAATGTACGTCAGATATTACTAATCAATTGGATACATTTTTCACTTTTAATATACTTTTAAGTCGACGTTTTTGCGTCGTTTCGTTGTCGAGTAGAAAGGTAAACACCGACAAATCGTATTAACGTGATAAATCGAATAAAGAAAATACCGTCACGCCTTTTATTTATCGACTCAAAACCCGATCATAGTAATAGTTACATTTTGAAAATCTTATTCACAAACGAACCATGACGTCAAATATTAAAATGTTTCTAAAGGTAAATAGGTTAAATAAGTTTTAGGTATTTCTAAGTACTTACGCATCATGACACCAAACCGACCGTGTGAAATTTAACGAAAAACACGTGGTTGCAAATTAAACATAACCCATTCATCGACCACCCAGATACGTGATGACATTAAATAGTCTGTAACCTTTAAATGCTACTCTGTTTCCGAAAATCAACAGTATTGGCCGCATATTGGAATCATATAAAGTAAAAAACCAATCGGATACCATTTAAATCTGATACTAACGTAGTCGATTACAGTATTTGCTATGCTATATTGAATACTGGATGCAATACTTCAAGTAATGTAAATAATAATAAAAACCTTCAGTGCATGTTAAACATTCTCAAAATAACAATACAAACTTACTGCGAAAAACATCAAATGAACAAATAAAACAATTATTACCTCTTCCCGAAACAACTTCAAACAACCTCTCAGAAATCATCGCATATACTCGTATTTTCTTGCAATAATTATTATCAAAATGTAATAATAAAATAATTTTTAATCTTGATCAAATGCACTCTACCTTAAACATATTTTACTTCGAAATACGAGAATGACGCCAGTTAACACGAGCAAGAACTTTAAAAAAATAAGCTGTGAGGAAGGAAAAAAAATGATTAAAATAAGATAACGGAAACCTATTTTGTATAAAATATTCGTTTAAAAATATATGTTTTACGTTTATATTTAATATAGTGAATACGAAATCATGAAACTCATTTAAAAACTATTTAATCAATAACGATTTGTTTTTGATTCTTCACGAACAACTTCCGTCACTTTTTAACCAGCAAACTATTATAATTTTGAGAGATACTTTACAAAGATTACTCGTATATGTATATTGATTTTTGAAATACTATGAACTTAAACTTAATAATAGTCAATTAAAAATAGTAAAATCACTCAAAAATCGAAATTCTTTCACCAAAGTAAACACTTTATAGAAAATTTTCTTTCACGAGTTAACTTTAATCAAAACTTATTATAATATATACGGTGACATGCAAGTAAAATATATTGATAAAAGTTAACTCGTAAAAAAATAATATCATTAAAAAATGTATGTGTTTTAATTCATAATGTATTGACAACTTCCAATAAACTATTATTATATTGAGATATCTATATGGTAAGATAAAAATAATGGTTATTTTAATAATATTTTGGGCTGACATATGTCTGTGCATGAAAAAAATTAAAAATCATACCTTATTTTTAACCACCATAAATTTTAAAATTTGAGTATTAATTGTTTTATCATAATATAATTCACGTTTGAATTCCTGTTGATCATTATTGACTTCTACGTTAGCCTCTCATCAGTGTCACATTTCCAGAAAATAATTGAACAAACTAAAAGCAATTTTTCTGAAAAAAATCTAATCCACTAGTTACCAACTACGGGCTGTAGACCAAAACTGGCCTATGATAATTTATTACCGTTTTATCTATTAATCGCCAAAGTATCAAATCAAATTGAAAAATTTTATCTATACCGTTTTAAATGATTTGTTATTTTTTTAAAAAAAAAAAGTAGATTGAGGTGTAGTTTCAAAACAGTAGTATATTTATATTATCAACAAACTTACACGCAAATTTTTAATCGTTAAAAAAACATTTTGATAAGAGCAAATTAAAAACTTATCAGTTTATTTTAAACGCTTTTTCAAAAGAATACAAAACATATTTAAACTTATTTACAATTAGAAACCATCGAATTTCAATATAATAGTTATTTAAAAACACAATTTAAACATTATTCAAGCATTAAAAATCTTGTTGAGTTTATTTCGAATTCATCTAAAGAAAAATGTCCAAACGTTTGACAGTTGGTATTCAAGATTACTTTTATACTTTGTTCGACTTACATTTGTGAGCAAGTACTTCTATGAAAATAAATAAAAGCAAAACTCGGTCTTGCATAATAAATAAACATCACCGTGTCGTTTTTCAAGTAAATTCAAGAAAATTAGAGCCTAATATTGATGTTCTTTGTGAACCAAAATAAGGTTAATATTCACATTAAAAAATATATATGTTTATACTTTATAAACAAGGTAAAAATATGATTGGCCACAATTATTTTAATCTATAGATTTTATTAAATATCACTACATCATAATGTTAACATTTCTTATGTATTGGATTGTTTTATCCATTATTTTACTTGGCAATATAAAAATGTAACTAACACAATGAAATTTTATTTATAAACAAAAAATATTATTTTTGATAAATAGGTACTCGTTATTTATTTACTGATAATATGCGATGTATATATGTGAATAAAACTTTAAGAAAATATTAGTTTCATTGTTAAAATGAAAATAAGTTAATTATCTGGGAACAAAAAACGCTTCCATAACTTAAATATAATAATTTAATAGAAAATACAAATTAGTTATCTCTAGAAAATTTTCAATTTATATGATGAAATAACCACCTATTAGTAGGTGGTACACAAAAATTTACACAAATAATATCATTAATAACAATTCAAATTATTATATAATAATAAATGAGAAACTTTTACTGTTTTTTTAACAGTTACATAGTAAGCCTCGTTTACATTGAACGAGTTGACAAATAGCTAGCTGGTTAGGTTAGGTTAGAAGTGGACTCTATTTTAGAAATGGACTCGGTGTCGGCTGGTGTGGTGGTAATATCACACGCAAAACGTTTTATTCGGCCAGTAGCCAACTAGATAGTGATTAAAATCCACTTGGTTTTTATTATTACTCGCAGCTAGTTCACCAGCAACTATAATGACACACGGCTTGTTTACTATCTTTCAATCCGAAACGCCAGCTAATAGCGAGTAAAGCAGGCCGGCGTTCAACTTTACTCGCCGATAGTTTACAATCTGCTAGTTGACTAATCAACATGATTACACTTGACGAGTTAACTAGCAGATAGTGAATTTGCCAACTAACAGCTTGTAAACTCGCTCAATTTAAACGAAGCCTAAGTCAATCAATTATATTTAGTAAGATTAAATATAGCTATTTTATTAATTGTATGTTTTTTTTTTCAGGAGTGACTCTTTTTAAACTCAGTTTAATATAATACCCATATATGAAATTACCAGGTAACAATATTGTTATTTTTTTCATTTTTATAATCATTTTTTTTATATATATATATCATCATATAATGAATGATTAAAATTTATAAAAATAGAAACTAAGGTAATTTCATGGTTTAAAAATAATATGATCTCTACAATTCATAAGATTTTCTTATTTTTAATATTTTTTTTCCACCTTCTTTTGTTTTTTAACATAAATGATAATATATATGATTTATTTATAGTATAACATTGATTTTAATTGACCTGCATGAAATAATCATTCATTTATGAGATTTTAGTAATAAGATAATTAAAATATATTAAACAGACGTATTTAGATTAATATTATTTATAAATATAACTGTCATGATGATCGACTTTCACGCAGTGTTGGGACTTATCTAGATAAGTTTATCTAGATAAATTATCTTGATAGATTTTTTGTCTTCTTTTATCTTATCTAGATAAATAACGCTAAGTTAGCTAATGACTTATCTAAGATAAAATTTTTACTTATTTAGATAAATTTCTGCATTCTTGTCAAGATTAGAGTTATTTTTATTCTTGTACGGAGACGAATCCAACAAATCAGAGATCATCAAAATCGGTACAGCCGTTCTTGAATTATAAATTCTCTAAATAACATGACTTTCTTTTATACATATAGATTTTGTATTTATAATCATAATTCGTGAATTGTTAATAAGTAATAAGTAATTTCTCGGTGTGACTTGTTTTTGTATTTTCATGTCGGGAAAATATTTTTGGTATTTTTCAGCTTACTTTTCTTATTTTTCCATGGAAGTCCCAAGTATAGTAGGCATTTGATTTTAGTATATACATGTAACTCATATGTTGAAAGTCATTATTTCACTCTTGGAACCCGTAAAGTCGTAACTACTTATAGAATAATGAAAATCATCAAATTAATATTATATGGAAAACAATATTGTTAACTTAAAATAATTTTTTATGTATTCTGTACTCATCCTGATACGTATAAAGTAATTTTCATTTTTTTTTTTTTTTTTTTTTTTTTTTTTTTTTTTTTTTTTTTTTTT